GTTACTAAGAAATAAATGCCAGATAACAGAAAAGAAAGAATCATCGGTACTCAAAATAGAACCAGGTATATCAATTTATTTTTACTTTAAATTACCAAATTAATTTTGAAAGGTAAAAGGTTTAAATAATCAAAATGAATTGACCTTTGGAGATGCAGCATCTCGACGGCTGGACTTCTCTCTGTTAAAATTGGCTACCATCTCCTAATGGTATTTGTTATCTTCTATTGTACTCTGGCTGGCTCTTCAAGTTTGAAGTTTTCTTCAGTGTTCCTGGCAGACTAGAATTCTTATCAGCCAGTTTCATTATCCCCAGGGGCATCTTAAATGTCAGAGGAAAATGTGGTGAAATTGAACAAGCAATTATTTAGTTGTACAATGATTTCTGGTGAATTAAGAAAGCAGATTATTAAAAATGTTAATGCCAGTTAATTTGTGCCAGGCCAGGTTTTTATTGACTGAGTCAAGGGCTTTTAGTGCTACAAAAAACAAGCAGTTTTTTATTTGTTGCTATTAGAATGAAGAGAGCAGCCTACAATGAATTCACTTGCTTTTGTCTGATTTGAAGTAACCCAGGAACAGAATGTGATCTGTAAAGTGCATAATCCAAAAAATACAGTAGGGAAAATAAGACTGTGCAGCAGTTATGCTGGAGCTCTGTTTATTTTTTTTCCCCAAAAAATCATTCTGTATAATATCTCCTATCCAATTTTTGTTTCTCCCAAGGTATCTTTTTTTTTTTTAACTCCAACTCTCATTGGCCAAGAGAACTCTATGGACACAGACCACCAAAGAGAACAGCTAAACAGTATGAAATTTATCTTTAGACAGAGCTCCTTGCACCAGAAAGGCATTCATTGACTACTACAGCACATGATAGCCCAATCTCTTAATGTGACTGAGAGCCCCAGGTGGTACTTCATAGGCAGGAAGGTGTTTTTCTAACTTGCTCAGGATAAAGCTCTAGGAACTTAATGAGAGCTTCTTACTGATAATGATGTGAAAGCACCATTCCACTTCTTCTTTTCCAATTTATTATTTCAAATATCATTATATGTCATTTATTTAAAAAAATACCCTTCCACTAAATATCCCCTACACTGCATTTTGCATCTACCTTTTTATTCCACTTTGGAAGACTACATAAATGTCATGCAAGTGATTGTATGGCACAGAGGAAGTTTTATAGCGTTCCAATGTTCAATGCAAATGGTAAAATATGATCTGTGGATAAGAGTATTTGGGGAAGATTACCATGGGGCAGCTAGATGGAGCAGTAGATAGAGCATGGAATTTAAAATCAGAAAGACCTGAGTTCAAATCCTGACTTAGACACTTACTGCTTGTGTGACCCTAGGTAAGTCACTTAACCACTCTGTGTCTCAATTTCTTCATCTGTAAAATGAAGATAGTAATTGCACCTCTCTTACAAAATTGTTATGATCAGCTGAATTAACATATGCAAAAATGCCTTGCAATCCTTAAAGCACTATATAAATGCTATTATTATTATGGCACCCTGTATTTAGAGTAAAAAAAACCCCAGTCACCTATAGGAAAGTGGTGGTACTACTGGGTCAAAAGGTAGGCACAGTTTTATAGTCCTTGGACATACTTCCAAATTGCTCTCCAGAATGGCTAAAATGGTTCACAACTCTACCAACAGCGTACTGGTGTCTCAATTTTCCCACAACTCCTCAAACATTTGTCATTTTCCTTTTCTGTCGAATTAGCCAATCTGACAGTAATGGGGTGATCCTTTTGACTTGTTTTAATTTGCATTTCTCTAATCAATAGTGATTTAGAGCATTTTTCTCATATAACTACAGATAGCTTTGCTTTCTTTATCTGAAAACTGCCCGTTCATATCCTTGGATCACTTATCAATTGCGGAATAACTTATATTCTTATAAATTTGACTCCGTTCTCTATATCTTTGAGAAATGAGGCCTTTGTCAGAGACACTTGCTGTAAAAATTACTTCACAACTTTCTGCTTTCCTTTTAATTTGGATTGCATTGGTTTCGTTTGTGCAAAACCTTTTTAGTTCAATATAATCAAAATTATCCATTTTACATCTAGTACTACGATCTCTTGTTTGGCCACAAATTATTTCCTTCTCCATAGATCTGACAGGTAAACTATACCTTTCTCTCTTAATTTGCCTATGGTATCAGCCTTTATGTCTAAATCAGGTACACATTTTGACTTTATTGTCTTTCTTTTTTAAAATCAAATTAACCAAAGGTTTATCTATTTTATTGGGTTTTTTCCCACTAAAATAGCTATTAGTTTTATTAATTCAATAGTTTTCTTACTTTCAATTTTATTAACCTCTCCTTTGATTTTCAGGATTTCTAACTAGGTATTTAAAGATTTTTAATTTATTCTTTTTCTAGCTTTTTTAGTTGCATGCCCAATTCATTGATCTGCTCTTTCTCTATTTTATTGATGTAAGCATTTAGAGATATAAAATTTCCCCCAGCACTGCTTTGGCTGGACCTCATAAATTTTGGTATATTGTCTGATGATTGTCATTCTCTTTCATGAAATTATTGGTTGTTTCTGTGGTTCATTGTTTCATCCACTCATTCTTCAGGATTAAGTTATTTCATTTCTAATTCATTTTTAATCTATCTTTCCATGGTTCTTTATTAAATGAATGTTGTATTGCATCATGATCTGAAAAGGATGCATTTAATATATCTGCCTTTCTGCATTTGATTGTGAGGTTTTTATGCCCTAATATTTGGTCAGTTTTTGTGTAGGCGCCATGTACTTCTGAGAAAAAGGTATATTCCTTTCTATCCCCATTCAGTTTTCTCCAGAGGTCTATCATACTTAACTTTTCTAAAATTCTATTCATCTCCTTAAAGTTCTTTCTTATTTATTTTGTAGTTAGATTTATCTAGTTCTGAGAGGGGGAGGTTGAGGACCTCCATGAGTATAGTTTTTCTATTTCCTCATTTAACTTCCCCTTTAGAAATCTGGATGCTATACCATTTGATTCATACATGTTTAGCATTGATATTACTTCACTGTCTATGGTACCTTTTAGCAAGATGTACTTTCCTTCCTTGTCTCTTTTAATTAGCTCTAGTTTTGCTTTTGCTTTGTCTAAGATCAGGATTGCTACCCTTGCTTTTTTTTTTTAACTTCAGCTGAAATCTTTTACCTTTATTCTGTGTGTCTCTTTGCTTCACATGTGTTTCTTGTAAACAACATATTGTAGGATTCTGGTTTTTAATCCACTCTGCCATTCACTTTTGTTTTATGGGAGAGTTCATCCCATTCATACTAACTGTGTATTTCCCTCCACCCTATTTTTCCTCTTACGCTGTTCCCCCTCACCATTGTTTTGCTTCTGAACACCGCCTCCTTTGATCGGCTCTTCCTTCTATCAGCCCCCTCTCTTTTCTTTTCCCCTTCCCCTCCTACTTCCCTATACTGCAAGACAGACTTCTCTACCCAATTAAATGTGTATGTTATTCCCTCTTTGAGACAAATCTGATGACAGTAAAGTTCAAATGATGCTCACCCCCTCCATTCTTCCCCTCTACTGTAATAGGTCTTTCATGCCTCTTCATGTGATATAATTTATCCCATTTTGCCTCCACTTTTTTTCTTCTCCCAGTACAACCCTTTTTTCATCCCTTCTTTTTAATATCATCACATCAGAGTCTACTTATACCCACACCCTCTATGTGTACTCTTAACTGCCCTAATAGAGATACAGTTTTTAAGAGTTATAAGTATCATCTTCCCATGTAGGGATGTAAACAGTTTAACCTTATTCAATAACGTTTTTTTTTCCCTTTCTTATTTACTTTTTTATGCTTCTCTTTAGTCTTATATTTGAAAATTGAATTTTCTGTTCAGCTCTGGTCTTTTCATCAGGAAAGTCTGAAAGTCCCCTATTTCACTGAATATCTATATTTTCCCCTGAAAGATTATGCTCAATTTTGCTGGGTAGTTGATTCTTGGTTGTAATCCAAGCTCCTTTGTCCTCCAGAATATCATATTCCAAGACCTCCAATCCTTTAGTGTAGAAGCTGCTAAGTCCTGTGTAAGCCTGACTATGGTTTCTTGATATTTGGATTATTTCTTTCTGGATGCTTGCAGTATTTTCTCCTTGAGCTGAGAGCTCTGGGATTTGCCTGTAATATTCCTTTTCATTTGGGGATCTCTTTCAGGAGGTGATGGGTAGAATCTTTCAATTACTATTTTACTCTATGATTCTAGGATATCAGGGCAGTTTTCCTTGATAATTTCTTGAAAGATGCTGTCCAGGTTCTTTTTTTTGATCATGGCTTTCACGTAGTCCAATAATTCTTAAATTATCTCTCCTGAATCTATTTTCCAGGTCAGTTGTTTTTTCCAGTGAGGTATTTTACATTTTCTTCTTCTTCTTCTTCTCCTTTTTTTAGGCAATTGGGGTTAAGTGACTTGCCCAGGGTCACACAGCTAGTAAGTGTCAAGTGCTTGGTCTGAGGCTGGATTTGAACTCAGGTCCTCCTGACTTCAGAGCCAGTACTCCATCCACTGCGCCACCTAGCTGCCTCCTTAAATGACTTGCTGGGGTCACACAGCTGGTAAGCATTTGAGGCTGGATTTGAACTCAGGTCTTCCTGACTATAGACTAGCACTCTATCCACTGTACCATCTAGCTGCCCTATTTTTTCATTCTTTTAATTTTGTTTGATTGATTTTTGATATCTCATAGAGTCATTAGTTTCCACTTGCCCAATTCTAATCTTTAAGGAATTATTTTCTTCAGTGAGCTTTTGTACCTCCTATTCCATCTGGCTAATTCTATTTTTAAAAGAGTATTTTCTTCAGTGGGGTTTTCTACTTCCTTTCTCACTTGGCCAATTCTCCTTTTTAAGGCTCTTCTACTTTCTCACACACCACACTGGGTAGCAAGCTGGCAAAATCTAAATGCAGTTGTTCTACTACTGTTGCTGAGAAAATAAGATCACTATAGAAAAATACTGGCAGATTTATTTAATTTCATTTGTCTATTTGTTTTTCCCCTTTCAGTCTCATTTACTAAATCTCTCAGGATGATCTGACGAGGCAGTATTTCAAGCCGATATCTCTGCGAGCTCATTTCCTCTTTAGCTGTTTTTATCTGTTTGGGGTCGTTATGTGGCAGTAATTTTCCATCATCATAGAATCATGAATTTAGAGCTTGAAGGGACACCCATTCTCTCATTCTGGAGATCAGGAAAGTGAGGCCTGAGGAAATGAGGAAAATGAGAAAATGTTTTGCAAGTGAACTCACATGCTAAATCTATGGTACCCATGGCTGTCAGATCTCTTTATTATTTATTTGCTAGATAAATTGCTTTTAAATTCTTCATTCTTTTCTCCTCATAAGTCTGTAGGTTTTTTAAAAAAGAAAGTACTATGGGTCTTGCTTTGCAAAGATAAAAGCCTTTAGCATCCACCAGTAAAGAGACAGAAAACATTTTATCCCAAGCACTGTGCTGTATTTTTGGTGCAGTTAAATCTTCTCTGTCCTGAGACATGTCTTTGTTTTTTTTATCCTTAGTTACTTAAATAAGAACAAATATCTGTCTATGATTGATGAAGATGCTTTTTTGGGAGTATATAATGGACCTACCCTGCTGTAAGTAAAACAAAAGAAAGGTAACCTGATTCCAAATGTTGAAGAGTACTGATGGTAGTCACTGATGAGAAGAGTTGTTTCTTTCTTTTTTCTGTTTTTTTACTGGATAATGAATGACAAACTACTATTATGCTATGTTATATGCTGAACTATCATTTAGGCTTCAATGTGTTTGTTATGTTGTTGAGTCCTTTCAGTCACGTCTGACTCTTCATGACCCCATTTTGGGAGGTTTTCTTGGCAAAGATACCAGAGTGGTTTGCCATTTCCTTCTCCAACCTATTTTACAGATGAGAAACTGAGGCAAACAAGGTTAAGTGACTTGCCCAGGGTCACTTAGCTAGTAAGTGTCTGAGGCTGGATTTGAACTCAGGAAGATGAGTTTTCCTGGTTCCAAGTCTAGTGCTCTATCCATTGTGCCACCTACCTGCCCAGGAGCATTGTTTCTTCAGGTAAGTTATTTTCCTTGGAGAAACTCTATCCTGGAATGTTAAGATTGGAAGAGTTTCTGAACTTTCCTGCTGTAGTGCCCGATCAAGCCACTACAGCCATGTGGATTCAAGAGAAAGGAAGGGAACACACATTTATTAAGCACCTACTATGTGTCAGACTCCATGTTGAACATTTTACAAATATTATCTTGTTTGATCCTCACAATAGCCCTGGGAGATGGGTGCTATTACTAGCCCCATTTTACAGTTGATGAAATTGAAAAACAGTTTAAGTGACTTGTCCAGGGTCACACAGCTAGTAAGTATGTGAGGCCATATTTGAAATCAATTCATCCTGACTCCAGGGCCAGTGCTCCATCCGCTACTAGGTGCCTCTGCATCATTGTCTGCCATTATCATGAACAATCATCATGAACTACAATGCACTAGTCAGGAATAAGAATAAAAAGAAGTATAGGCCTTGGTCCTTGTCTTTATGGAAGTTAGTTTTTAGGCAGGGATCTAGGACACATGTATAAAGAGGTAGTTTATATTACCTTTAGCTAAATACTGGAAATGAGGCAGTACGGTGTGGAGGAAAGACATCAAGTTAGAAAACCTGAATCCAAATCCAGGTGCTCAGGCTTCATAACATTTTAGTTCATGGGCAAGTCACTTACTCTTTCTAAACCTCAGGTTTCTTGTATGTGATATGAAATAATACTTACTGCTACCTACCTCACAATATTAAGTGAAATTTAGTAGGGATAAATGTAAAACCTCACACTTGGTTCAAAAAATCAACTTCCTAAATACTAGATGGGGGAGACAAGGTTAGACAGCAGATTGTCTGAAAAAGTTTAAGGAGAGGGGAAGGGTGCCTGGACAGTTAGAACAACAGGAGTCATTAGTGTGATGTGGCAGTCCAAAAAAGCTAATTCGATCTTGCTTACATAAAGAGAGTCTTAGCTTCCAGGAATCAGAAGGTGATAGTGCCTTTGTACTCTGCCCTGATCAAATGATGTCTGGATTTTTGGGGTCAGTTCTGGATGCTACGATTTAGGAAGGACATTGATAAGCTGGAGGGCATCCAGAGGAAAGTTACCAGGAGTCTAAGAGAATTGGTTGAAATAACTGTGGCTGCTTAGCTTGGAGTGGGGAAGAAACAGCCATCTTCAATCATTTGGAGACTAACATATGGAAAAAGGATTAAACACATTCTATTTGGCCCTAGAAGATTGAGAGCAACAGGTAAATTTAGCAAAGAGATAAATTTAGGCTTGATATTAAGGAAAAATTTTCTCATAATTAGAAGTATCTAAAAGTGGAATGGATATCTTGGGAGGCAGTGGGTTAAACCCCTCCCCCCACTGGAGGTAATCAGGAAGAGGCTAGATAACAACTTTGGGATATATTATGGTGAGGATAGGGACAAGGACTGGACCTGGTTGTAGGAAATTTCCAGAGGAGGAAACTCCCCCTACCAATGCAACTTCCATTCATAAAGAATTGTCTAGAGCACTGAGAATTTGAGGTGACTTGTCCAGGGTCACACAGATGTGGATTCTGGTCTTTTTGGCTTTGAGACTAGCTATCTATCCATTATGCCACACTGACTCTTAAGCCATAGTAAAGATTCTTTGGGGTGGGGGAGGTTGAGCAGGTTGGACTGACGGCCAATGAGCTTAGTTTTAAATCTAAAAGCCTTTGATTCTGAATGGTTGGGCATAAAGTGCTTTATAAACCTTAAAATATTATATAAGTATGAATTACTATTACTATTATTCTCGTTCTTCTAGTCTTACATTGAATGGAGTTCAGATAGAAACAGTCCTGGGACAAGTTGTTATGCTGTTATTGTTTTACGTGTAATGTTCTGTGTGTTATTGCACATCTGGATAAAACATGTCAACCTGACATGACCATTAAAAAAAGTATGCTATCCTCCTGTGGCATATATTAGGGGAATGACTGAGAGTCTTCTGGTGTAAGTCAGATGACTTGATGACCAATAATGACTTCTAATTACACGATTTTATATTTCACTCTTGAGTATTTGTGTATTTACTTGGCTTTAAAAAATTATTCTAAATCAAGAGTCCAGGGAAAGAGCTGTTCATTTCTAGGCTTTTTTTTGCAGGGGGGGGCAGTTTGGGTGAAGTGACTTGCCCAGGGTCACACAGCTAGTAAGTGTCAAGTGTTTGGTCTGAGGCAACATTTGAACTCAGGTCCTCCTGACTTCAGGGCCAGTGCTCTATCCACTGTGCCACCTAGCTGCCCCCCTAGGCTTTTTTTTAAAATGTGACTTTTGCTCCTGATAGCAAGAAAAGTTGCATCAGGGTTTGGTGTTTTTTTAAGTTAACTGTCATCTTTACCTCAATTATTCCACATCTCATTCCATACTGCTGAAGAGGGATGGGGATGGAGGGGGAAGACAGGACTATCAACTTATAGGATTTAGGGAATATTGCATTTCAACTTCAATGTTATAAGATTTTTGAGATGGCTACATTTTAGATTCAATGACATTGGGTTTAGAGATTACTGCATTTCAAGTTTCAGCTATTAGCATTTTGTTACAAGGGGAGTGCATTTGGCAGTGAAAATTTCCTTGTTTTGAGAAATACTGCAGACTTTTAGATATTTCTATGATACCTAGTTTTATAATACCAGAGGTGTTTTACTATCTAAAGGGATACTTTTTTAATTCTTGGAGCAAAGTTAATTTTAATTAACCAGAATTAAGAATTTCCTCCAAAAAAGTAATACTTGAATGTATCATCCAAGTATAGAGGTGACTTTGGATCCTCTAGGGATATGCCAATGTACTGCAAGCTCTTGCAAGAGTTACTAAACTTGAAGGCTGAATTAAAATCTAGTAACAAATTCTCTAGATAACTAGTTAACACCGGGTAACTAGAAAGAGCACTGGGCCTGGAATCAGGAAGACCTGAGTTCAAATCTGGCCTCAGACACTTACTAGCTGTGTCATCCTGGGCAAGTCACTTAACTCTGTTTGTCTCAGTTTCCTCATCTGTAAAATGAACTGGAGAAGGAAATGACAAACCACTTCAGTATCTCTGCCAAAAAAACACCTAATGGGGTCACACAGAGTCAGACACAACTCAATAACAACAACAAAAACAGATTCTCTGCTATCTAAGGACCAGCCTAACACAGTATGGTCAGTTTTGCTGTTACATTGTTTTGAAAAGGCAAATGTGTTCCATCTTGACTGATATATTAGGGAATAATTTGAGCATAAGGGAACTTTCAAGTTTGCTTATGCATGATTTCTATGAGAGAAAGTAAGAGGATAATGAGCCACACTTGTCCACTTCTACTATTTCAACTTTCCATCTGATTTCAGATTACTCTCCTTCCACCACTTCACAATAACTCACAAGCAGCAACCCTTAGCCTACTTCAAAAAGCAAACTTCATGTCTTTTTCAAGTTAAATGCTCAAGTGTAGTAGGAGCTCTGAAAGAAGAGAGCTGGTCTATATCCTTGCACTCCAATCCCCCCCACCCCTCCAATTCACTTGAGGCTACCCTCCTACGAGCATAGGCCAAGCAAAAGCTATAAACACCTCTACTATTTGTTATGGTATTGATGTATTTCTTAATCATTCCTAACTAAGGGGTGTGATTTTTGTTAGATTCCTATGTCTTTTTCCCTATGTCATTGATGAAGTTTTCGAATGTACCCTAATACCATTTTTCTTACAAGCCCTGTAGTTTTAAATTACACAGTTTTTATCAGAGCAGTGATTTTTAGGAGTGCACATGTCAAGTTATAGCAGAACTGTCTATAGACAGACTCAGTTACCACCACCAGGTTAGTCACTAGGTGATGAATTCTTCAGCAGTGGCTATAGAGGCAGCTAAGTGGCTCAGCTGATAGAGTGCTGGACCTGGAGTCAGGAAGACATTTACTAACTGTGACCCTGAGCAAGTTACAACCTCTGCCTTAATCCACTGGAGCAGGAAATAGCAAATCACTCCAATACCTTTGCCACAAAATCCCTATGGAGAAGAAGATTCTGAGAAGATAGTGGAGTAGGTCCAAGCTCTCCAGACTTCCCCCACAAACAAGATAAAATAGTGCCTCAAAGTGAACATAGAGCAGTAAAATAAATGAGTAGGGACAGAATAGTAGTCCTCCTGGGAACAATCAGAGAAGATCCGAAGAAAAATCCCAGGATGAGGTTTGGTCCCTGTGAAGAATAAACACTTCCAGGCTAGTTCCACTTAAACAACAGGAGGAGCCTTGGTGTTAGCTGGGTTGGGAGGTGGGAGGCTGCCTTGGCCCCAGCCACAGGAATTTTACTTCCCAAACAGTGAAGGGAGGTGAGTGTGTGAGCTGGGGAAGATTGAGGAAACCCTTACTGATAAGGAGCACCAGTCCCAGCTGTGCTGTGATGAAAAAGAACCAACACACACCCAGTGAGGGCAGAAGCAGTGGGGCAGGACGCTGCTGGCTGTGGGCACTTACAAGAGGCTGGAGGTCATGGTTTTGGTTCCAGGACAGAAGGGAGAACTGAAGGAGGATCTGAGGCCAGAGGCAC